TTATTACACAGGATTGGTTTTTACTCTGTGAGGTTCTGAATAAAATTTTATTAGATCATTTCTGAGATATTTCTGAATAATTTCCGTGGTCTAAGTAAATGAGGAATATTTGAATTACCTTAAACGTAAAGATGCGATTCTTAAAAGAGTGGCATCGCGAGGAGAGACTCGCATCCTAATTTCCTCGGATGTTTAAAGAGCGGCGAATCGTTTGCCAGAAATCCTCGCCCGGAATTTCATCAGTGCGGAATCCTACCGTGGCCCGTGGCCCGGTTAGTCTTCATCTTCATATTTTATTTCTCTGAATCCAACACGGGAATTTTGCTTCATTTTTACGCGTCGCTTCGCATTTCCATAAATTTCCCGGGAACTTCGTGCGGCGTCGAACCCGAATTAGATTTGTTAAGGGAACACGTAGCGAACGTTTAAACACCGTGATTTTTCACTCTAATATCCGAAGTATTCGTTACCGACGTCGCAAATTGATTTCATGCAGCCACCATCCTCGTTCCTATTTCATTTGCTCCTGAAATATTTACTTCAGATATTACAAGCTTGAATATGGGATAGAAAATGTAACCAAAATTGCGACATTGAATATGTTTACGTAATAGTTATGAGTATTAGACAATGTCTGTATTATAGAATAAGATATAACTGCTATCGTTTATTGTGATTGTTTCAGAACCCAATTTCGTGGGATCTTACGACATCGGTAGCCATGTGTTCTTCTTTTTCCGCGAGACCGCGGTGGAATATATAAATTGCGGGAAGAGCGTGTATTCTCGAGTGGCCAGAGTTTGCAAACGTGATACCGGCGGCAAGAATATTCTATCGCAAAATTGGTCGACGTATCTAAAGGCCAGACTGAACTGCTCGATACCGGGCGAGTTTCCGTTCTACTTCAATGAGATACGTAAGTTCCATAACAATTCCCATACATTCCATATATTATATTCTCATTTTATACAATTTCTTTCCTATTTCTTATATAACAAATAATTATAACAGGTAATAGACTCCTTCAGATAACCAAATGATCTGTTTTTTTCATATCCATGCTTTCGTTGTATGAAGGGGTACAACTCATAGTTGTGTAGATCTAATGTTAAGGACGTATTGGCTGTATAGTCAATCCCAAAAGTTTATGTACCTTAGAAAAACGCATTTCGTATAATTATAAAAAAATCACACATCGAAAGAACAATGATTTTGGATGAAAAATGTTTACTTGTTAACGTTCAATTGG